TTTTTTTTTTTTTTTTTTTTTTTGCTTTCTTTGAATCCTTCTCAGGAAACATAAAAAAGCCTCATTGAAAGAATAAGAAACACCCCACAATGCCTGACTTCACAACAGTGAATTAATGAAATGTTCATTAAATATCTGTTGTACACTCAGAAATAGTGTAAAAACAAACAATGGTACAGGGCTTTCTCTTCAGGGCATTATCACAAGAAAACATGCCTTATAAGCCACAGGATTAAAAAAAAAATCTAAGAGAATATATGTCAAGTTTTCATGATAGAGTCATAGGAGGGCTAGGATGGAGGTTCCAAGAAGGTAGAGATTAATCTAGGCTGGAGTTACCATGAAAGAGGAGAAGACTGAATTCAGACTTACTAGCATGCTGGGCTTCGTTAGGTAGAGCACATCAGCATCAAAGGAGCCGATGCACAGAAGAAAATCATGTACAAAGTTCACTAAAGAGCCCAACTGCCATGGCATAAGGAAAAGATGGACCATTCCGGGCAAACAAAATGGGATCACATTAAAGAGGGCCTTAAAAGCCTTTTAAATATCACAAGTTATGAAGAAATAATTTGTGTTTGTCAGCAGAGTGACAAGGAATATGTAATGATTTGGATACATCTTGCAGGAACATCTAAGATAAACCAGAAAATAGGATGAAATTGGCAATATAGACTCATGAACAGCCTAGACACCCTATCGGGAGTTAAAATTCACTTGGTTTAGGTCATTAGAAGTTGGGGTCCCAGGGGATCTAAAATACACTTAATTTGTGTCTTAATCATTTGAAACATATGTCTTTTATAGGCTCTGTGGAAAAAGAAAATTTTATTTTAAATCAGTCTTGGATAAACTAATAGTTAAATCATAGGTAATAAGTCATAAAAGTATTTAAGGAGACACTCTTGAGAGAAAAAAGCTAAGTTGCTTACCACAGTGATCTGGAGACTGCAAAGCAGCAGGCCAGCCATTATCTTTTATTATAATGTAAACAGAAAGGTGAAGGTTGAAGAATATTAAATAGTGGTTACTATGAAAAAACTGAGATGAAGGCCAGGTCCCCAGCTGGAGAATGGGAATGGGAAGTTGGAGACGCACAGATGCCACAGAGAGCACAAAGAAAATCCCATTAGTTCTTCAGAGGGATGCAGTTTCTGAGGGAGTTACTGTGAGAGGAGTTCTGAAGGTGGACACAGAGGCAGGAAGCAACGGTGGGGAAGCCGTAAGTGAAGGTGAGGGCAGATTTGTGAGGAACCAACTCACATGATGTTGGGAATTTCCAAATAATATCAGTATTACCAAGTGAAGCAGAGAGATGCACTATAAGGTAGATACCCCAAGTCAGCAGTGAGACTAAAGATGAGCAAGATGGGGTACACAGGTGGGGTATATGCTACAAGAAAAGGAAGAGGTTTTTTTTTGAAAAGGGGAAATAATTAGAAAGCATAATGTTACTAAAAGTTTTGAAATAAAAACAACCAACATACTGAACACGTACTATATGGCAACTATTTGAAGGGTTTTACATGTATTAACTCATGTGATCTTTCAAAGAAACCTGAAGTAAGGATTAATATTATCCCTCTTTTATAAATAAAGTTGTGCTACAAAATAATTAGGTTAGACAGTGATTGGTGGAGTAAGACTTCAAATCCACACAATCTGACTACCTTACGAGAACCAGATGTATGGAAAAGATCTGTGCTCATGTTGAGGAAAAAAAGAAGAATGAAGATTTTAGGAATTAAGAGAACAAAGCAAGGACCTCCATGGAACAGGCAGTGCAGGGAGCCAGGGCAGAGAGGAGAGGGCCCTCCCTCCACACAAAAGCTGAGCAAAGAGAAAGAGTAGCTATGCGAGCAGAGTGAGTGAAGGTGTCATCTGGGGATCTGACGATGTTATGTCAAGTGGACCCAGTCACTTCCAAAGCTGTGTGGCTTTTAAGAAGGGCTTCCTTAAAAAAAAGAGCTGCTTCAGAGGGACCTGTCCCTCACTGACCGACTGGAATCTCAATTCCAAAGACTCCCATCTGCCTGGTTTTCTTTCACTCACCTGGATGGCGCCAACGTGGGTTCTCCCCCTCCCCCATCCATGGCTCTTGTCCTTGCTCTGCCTTGAAGATCGCTTTTGTTTGGGTAACTGGGCCCCCTGTTCATGGGAAACAACACAGAACTGGAGACCAAGTGCTAGAGACAAACGACTACCTCACAATTCAGGTCTGTCTCCTTGAGTCTCAGGGCCTGGAAAGGATGACAAACAGGCTTTAGAACAGAAAAGACCCTTCTCCTCCATTTGGGAGGCAGAAGCATAAACCCTCTATCTGTTTGTGCGTCATCTCAAAGGGGATTAAGAATCTGTGACCACTAACATTCAGGGCCAAACTCAGGAATGCTTCAGAATGTCCACAGCTTCCAACAAGTCCTAAAGGCAGGGCGCTAGGAGTATATTCTTAGTTCCCCTGAAGAGTTACCACCCACTGTCCTTACCCACTGAGATGAGGTTTCTAAAGTTCTCCAACATCACATCCCAATACAAGGTTCTCTGCTCACAGTCAAGCAGCTGCCACTCCTCTGGGGTGAAGTCCACAGCCACATCCGGGAATGTCACTGATCCCTGTAACAGCACATTCATCTTCAAACTAAAGTGTGCATCATTTGGGGACTTGCAAGAGAATCATGGCAGCTTCTTATGATCGTATCATATTCATTGTTGAGTTTTCAGAAAGTTATATATTATAACTACTATATGCTTGACTCA